CTGGTGTTATTATTCTTAACACTGGCACTCGCCCAGCGGGGCGGATCGGGCCCTGTGCCCCCCCAGCCGAGCGAGGCCCTTGGGCTGCCTGCGGAGGAGCAGTGCGGAGCACAGCCCGACCCACCGCAGCTCTGGGAGAGCACACATCCCTCCCCAGCCCTGCCCCAGCTGCCTTCACAAAAATCCCGTCGCCACGATCACATCAAGCCCAGGCTGGGCCACCTTTGGCACCTCTTTGCGGGTCACAGTGGCTGTTGAGGTCCCCGGCACGTCTTGCTGGTGCTGCAGAAGCTGGAGGGCTGCAACTACCCCATGCTCCTTCCCCACATCTGCCCCGTGCAGCCCCCACCCTGCTGCCTGCCGGGTCTGCCCTGATCCAGGGGAAAAAAGGGCTCTGCAACCGCTCCAGTGTCTGTAGCAGAACCAGAACCCCGGGGACCTGGCCCCAGAGGCACAGGGGATCTGGCTGCTGTGGTGCAGGGAAGTTTGTATCCACCACCCTAAAAGGAGAGGGTGAGCTGGGAGTGCAAGTCCTGCTGCCTCCACACTGCCCTGAGCCCCTCATCCCTCCCCTAGAGTTTGTTCCTTTTCATCCTAGTCTTCATCTCCATCTGGAATGTATTTTGGGATGTTTTGACTTGCAGTCCCAAGGCTTCTGCTGCCGCTGAGTTTAAATCTCCGACTGCTCCTGGAGCGCAGCCAAGGCTGATGGGAAAAGCCGCGTCCCTCGCAGGGCTGTGTGTGCCTGGGCACAGGTGGGCACCTCCTGCCCAGCACACCTGCGGGGTGCAGGGGGGGCACGCTGGGGGCCCAGTGAGCCCCGAGTGCTGCTGCGTGCACCACGCACTCGTCTCTGTTCCCGACAGCCTGGGAAGCGCTGCCTTCCACCATGGGAACTTCCTGGTGAAGGGTTTCTCCTGTGGCACTGCGTTTTCCCTAGGGCCAAGCCTGCTCCAGATGCCAGAGGAATGCCTGGTGTGGTGGTCCCAGAGCCGAGGGAAAGCCACAGGCTTCCCAAACCCCTGGCACGCTCCATGCCACATTCAGTGCTGCGTGTCTGGCGCAGCTGGAAGCCAGGCAGGGTGAGCAGAGCCAGGGCCAAGGCTCCCCTGGGTGATTTCTGCTCACAAGCCCCTGGCTGGCCCCCTCCACGCTTCTATCCATGGAACCACTTCTCCCCTGCCTCCCTCCACACCTGGCAGCACTGAGACAACGGGGTGAGAGACCGAGAGACACAGGCACCGGGAAGCGCATGAAGGGGCCAGGCCCTTGGCAGAGGGTTTGAGCAGCAGGAAAAGCCCTTTGGAGCCTTTCACAAACCCTCCGCCCCTTCCCAGCTCCAGTGACTCATAATCCAGGCATCCACCCCCGGCCTCAAACGCCCTCCGCACCCGCCGTGGGAGCACGCGTGATCCCTGGGACCCCACACCTGGGGACAATGGTAACAGCCCCCGATCACTGATGGAGACCCCGCTGCTCACCAAAACAACAAGATTCTGTCCCCAAATCTGCCGTGGCCTGGCTCAGCCGCAGCACACGGGAGGGGCCGAGAGCGCCCTTTGCTCCTGGGGTGCCTCGGGGTCCCGGCGAGCCGTGAGCGCGGCCGGGCGGTGCCGCGGGAGGGGAGAACGGCAAGGGCCGCACCCACATCGCACCCCAGGGAGGCACCGGGCTGAGAGAGGAGCCTGGGTAGCAGCCATCCCCATCCCGGCTCGGACCCTGCTGCCACGGATGCCCGGCGCTGGGCAGTGCTACACCCCTGTTTGGCCAAGGCTGTCCTGGAGCCTCGGGGCCAAAGGGTGACGTGCCCGGCCCCACGTCTCCAGCAGATACGGTTTTGATAATAGAGGGAGGGGTCGCGAAGCGCCCGGGCTGGGCCACAGTGCCACCACCACTGCAAATATTAGTTTTGGCCCCATACAGGGTGTGGGCTCTCCCTGTGGCAGCCAGCTCCCAGATAGGGCTGCCGGCCCACATCCCTCTTTCTGGAGGAGTGGGTCTTGTCCCCTTGCAAACCCTTGGGCTGGCAGCCCCAGGGCACAGGAGCCCCTCGCAGCAGTGGGGGGCAGATGCCCTCTCTGGGCCCAGCTGGGGTCCCACACACAGGCAGTGCTGCACCCTGACATTTGCCCCACAGCATCTCTGGAGCTGTCTGTAATTTTTCGGGAGCTGACATACTAAATTGCTGCTCTTGGGTGTCCATGGGAGGCAGCTGAAGCCAGGCTGAGCAGGAGCAGCAGCACTTGGTGCAGGACTTGGCCTGGTCAGAGGCTGCTGCTCTGCTCCACTCTCAGCTCCTGAGGTAATCACATCTGCTGTATGTGCCAGGGCTCAGGGGCTGCAAGGGTCCAGCCCTCATGCTGGTGAGCCCAGAGCCCCTAACTGTCCCAATGTGGGTCTCCCCTGGTGCTCACTGGGGTGACGCTGTTCCACAGCTCAGCCAGAACCTGGGGGCTGTGCAGAGCACAGGTCCTGTCCCAGCTCGGGGCATGGTTGGGCTGGGAGTCTCTTCATTCCTGTCCTCCTCAGCTGTCCCTGGCACCTCACAGGGCACTACCAAGGCATGGAGGGGCTGTGGGTGCATGGTGTCCTGCTGATCTTCCTGCTGCCCTGCCCTGTGGGGAGCCAGACCAGCTCCATCCCTGGCCAGCGATGGTGGACAGACCCCGATGAGGCCCCATCCCAGCACCAAGCTGCCAGGTGAGGGGACCCCAGGGCTTGGGTGCTCTGCAGTGGGGTCCAGGGCAGCCCTGGCACCCCAGAGGGCCCCCGCCCCCCCATAGCTCCCTGTTGCGCTTTGCTTTCTGCCTTGCCAGGACCACACAGGAGCAGAAGGCTGAGGATGCCCAGGAGGGGCTGCCCCCACAGCCCCGCTGTGTCCGCTGCTGCCCCCCACCCGAAAAGCGCTGGTACCCCCAGTCCCAGCCCATGCCTCAGATCAACATGACCATCCTGAAAGGTGAGGGCTGGCAGGACCCCACGCTGTGCTGTCAGCATTGCCCCAGGTCCAGCGCTGAGCTGGGCTCTCGCTACCAGCTCTTGGTGGTGCCAGTGGTCCTGTGCCCTGCACAGACAGAGGGCAGGAGCCACACTGGGCTGTGAGCAGCCCCTGCTCCAGTGGCTTCTGGGCAGCAGCATCAGAGCCTGGGGAGGGGCAGGGGCAGGGCTGGTGGCTTCCTGCTCCCTCTATCCATCTCTGGGGAAGGGGATTTCGGGGTGCTGGGCTCAGCTCTGGCCCCTGTCTGACAGCTCAACTGTCCCTCCTGCTCTGCCCAGGAGAGAAGGGGGACCGCGGTGAGCGTGGCATGCAGGGCAAGTTTGGCAAGACGGGGGTGGCCGGCAGCAGGGGCCACGCAGGGCCCAAGGGACAGAAGGGCAGCATGGGCGCCCCCGGGGAGCGCTGCAAGAGCCACTACGCCGCCTTCTCTGTGGGCCGCAAGAAACCCCTGCACAGTAACGACTACTACCAGACCCTCATCTTCGACACGGAGTTTGTCAACCTCTACGACCACTTCAACATGTTCACGGGCAAGTTTTACTGCTACATCCCCGGGATCTACTACTTCAGCCTCAATGTGCACACCTGGAACCAGAAGGAGACGTACCTGCACATCATGCGCAACGGGGCGGAGGTGGTGATCCTCTACGCCCAGGTGAGCGACCGCAGCATCATGCAGAGCCAGAGCGTCATGCTGGAGCTGAAGGAGCAGGATGAGGTGTGGGTGCGGCTCTACAAGGGTGAGCGTGAGAACGCCATCTTCAGCGATGAGTACGACACTTACATCACTTTCAGCGGCCACCTCATCAAGTACAGTGGGGACCCCTGAGCACCAGGCCCCTGCACTCCTCCTGTGCCAGGCCAGGTGGCCAAGGAGCCCCTGTCCCTCTCATCCCAGGAGTGCCACCCCCATTATGCTGTTAGTCACCCTAGTGCCACTACCCCCAGCAGCTGCACCAGTGTGTGAATTCCCTCACTCCAGCGTCTCAAGGCTAGCTAGACACAATTGGAAGAGTTGGAGCAATTTTAATCCCCTGCCACTTTAGTGACCAGGAAGCAGCTGCTCACCTGGGGTGGGCAGGGAGCTCAGCCCCTGTCCCACACCAGAGCCAGGTTTGCCAGGCACAGCCTGAGCTGGCCGCAGCGGAGCAGTGTGCGAGGCAGAGCAGACACTTGCACCGTGTCTCTCCTCGTGCCAGCCCGTGCTCCCCGGCTGGAGCGGGCAGAGGGTGCTCAGCACCATCCGGAAAGGCATAAACCACTAAGGGCCCTCTTTCCTTTCACGGTGCAGGTGTTGCAGTGCGGGGCCGGGTACCCCTGTGGGGAGGGAATTGCGTCAGTTCCCTCTGCAGATTCCGTCACTGCTCGCCGCAGCCTCTGCTCAGGAAGGGCTCTCTCCCCACCAGCAGCTCTGGGCGGGGGGGCCTTTGGCCTCAGCCACTTCCTCTTCCGTCAGGTTATGTGCTGGCCAGGCTGCGTGTTTGTGTAGATGCAGCAGTAGCATGGGCCAGCATGCTGACCTCTCCATTCAGCTCATACCGCATTAAACACCTCACATTTCCAGCCTTGCTCACACCCTCGGTGTCCTCTTGCCTTGTGTGTGGGGAGGCTCTGAGGGACTCGGGGCAGGGTTCTGCTCTGGGGGTGCAGGGGCTCCCCGAGGGCTGGCATAGTGCTGCTGAGCTGGGGGTGGAGAGGGAAGAGTAAACCATCCCTGGAGAGCTGAGACACCTGTACCAGGCACTGTGTGGGCCAGCTGTGCCCTAAGGGCCGGGAGCAGTGCGGTGACAGGTGTCAGCCTGGAACAGGACAGGCTGGGAAGGGTGGCAGGGTTGTCAGCAGTCCGGGTTATCCAGCACATCCGCGGAGAGGAGATAGGTCTGAGATGAGGCTGGGTATCAGCGCCTGGTTTGGCGGGTCCATGGCTGGGCTGAGCAGGGCTGCAGCTGGAAACCAGCACCCCAAGCACAGCAGGGAGGGGAACGGGCTGGGGGGACTCAGGATGACCCTAAACAGAGCCCTGGCCGCACACGTGGGGAGCGGGTGGATGGTGGGGACCGAGTGAGGCAGGTCAGGCCGCTCACCGCTGTGCCTGTGGGCTGGGGGCATCAGCCCAGGGCCAGTGCCAAGGCACGGGCGAAGCTCCTTGGCCGCCCTGGCCCCTGGGGACTCCGTCCCAGAGTGCACACACAGCTCGCACCGCAGCACACACACTCCCGGGACACACGTTCGGGACGCAGGGTCCGTCCCGGGGGCACGGCGGGGGCGGGCGGGGGCGGAGCGGGCCC